AGGTCGTGATCTCACGGTTCATGCGTTCGGACTCCAAATCGGGCTCCACGCTGACAATGAGGAGCCCGCTTGGGATTCTCTGTCTCCCTCTGTGTCTGCCCCTCCCTCCCCCTCTTTCTCAAAAATAAATACATAAACAAACATTAAAAGAATTTTTAAGAAAAAGCCACCCTAGACCCAGTGGTACAGTTTTGAGTAAGTGTCACAGTATAAGAAACAGAGTTTTATTTTTATTTTTTTTAATGTTTTATTCATTTATTTTGAGACAGTGAGAGAGACAGAACAGAGGAGGGGCAGAGAGAGAAGGAGAGAGAGAATGTCAAGAGTGCTGGACGCAGGGCTTGACCTCACAAGCTGTGAGATGACGACCTGGGCCAAAATCAAGAGTTGGACCCTTACCTTTTTTTAATGTTTCATTTATATTTGAGAGAGAGACAGAGCACAAGCAGGGGAGGGGCAGAGAGAGAGAGGGAGGCACAGAATCCGAATCAGGCTCCAGGCTCCGAGCTGTCAGCACAGAGCCCGACGCGGGGCCCGAACTCACAAACCACGAGATCACGACCTGAGCTGAAGTTGGACGCTGAACCGACTGAGCCACCCAGGTGCCCTGACCTGGAACAGAGTTTTAAATAGACATACTAATGTCGTTTGTATCAAGCTCAAAAACAACGTTCTGTTTCTTTTTGGTAATTTGAGCTCACATCTTTGATTTTGCAATATTTCTTTTTCAAATAATTTGTTCTATTACCTAGATTTTTTTTTTTTAATGGAGAAAGTACAGATGAAACTTCCTCTTGTTGCTCAACATAATATCTTCCAGATTAGTTGATTCCTTTTGCCTGATGCTTAGGTTTTCACCACATACATTACCACAGTAATTATCAATGGGCATTGAGACTGTTTCTAAATTATTTGCTTCTGTGAACAAAGTAAGATTTAATATCAGATCCCCCCCAAATGAAACTGCTGGGACCCAGAGCAGTCACATCTTCTATTTTGATAGCTTGTCACCAGTTTGTCCTCCAAAGGTTGTTTCCATTGACATTTCTGCCAGCAGTGGCTAAAATCTCCAAAAACAGGCTTTCTGGACACATTTTGCGCGTGTCCCTGGCCAGAAAATCCCAGAGGGAGGAAGCGAGTGACGGATCCTTCGATTCACGAGAGGTCAAATGCATTGGTCCTGATGTGAGCGTTCGGTTTTTTCCCGAAAACAATTTGTCATGTTCACAGGAAATTTTGCCCATGAACCCTTCTGAATTCCCCTGGGAGGGTCATCACGAAATCAGGCTTTGATTTTCAATGTTTTGTTGTTGTTGTTGTCTAAATTAAAAACAATCCATTTGGTTTTATTTGTGGGTTTGGGCAGAGAAGGGAAGTGTCATGAGGAAGTCAACTTTGTGTCACTACGAGAAACTGACACTGACGTTCTCAAGAAGATGCAAGATTTTAAAAAACTCTCACAGAACTTCAGGAAGGTCCTTAAGAAAGTAATATTTCTTGGGGTGCCGGGGTGGCTCAGTCAGTTAAGCGTCCGACTTCGGCTCAGGTCATGATCTTGCGGTCTGTGAGTTTGAGCCCCATGTCGGGCTCTGTGCTGACAGCTCAGAGCCCGGAGCTTGCTTCAGATTCTGTGTCTCCCTCTCTCTGCACCCCAACCCCCTCGTGCTCTCTCTCTCTCTCTCTTAAAAATAAATAAACACCTGGGGCGCCTGGATGGCTCAGTCAGTTAAGCGTCTGACTTTAGCTCAGGTCATGATCTCATGGTTCGTGGGTTCAAGTCCCACATCAGGCTGTGTGCTGACAGCTCAGAGCCCGGAGCCAGCTTCGGGTTCTCTGTCTCCCTCTCTGTCTGTTCCTCCCCTGCTCATGCTCTCTTTCTCTCTCTCTCTCTCTCAAAAATAAATAAATATTAAAAAAATAAAATAAAAAATAAAACCTTAAAACAAAATAGAAAAAAACCTTTAAAATATAAACATTAAAAAAAAAAGAAAGAAATATTTCCAGTGAAGAACGATTTCAGTGAAATCCAAAAAACCCTCCACTTTTACTATCGGTGCGTTTGGTTAAATTCAAATGAAAATTAAGTTTTGTGCTTTTGGAGGTGACCGAGGAGGAGCCCCGTCCCCTCTGGGCCTCCCTGTTACTGGCTGATAAAAGGCACCCCACTTTCTTACCTGGGACTGGGGGGGTTGACTGAGTCAGGCTGCTGCTTCTCCTGCAGCCGCTCCAAGGTTTCCCATTTCTGTCCCCTCCTACTGTCACCGCAGCCACAGGAGGGGGGCTCCGGGGATGGGAAGCCAGGGCAGGGACCTAGGAGGGGGTGATGGTGATAGGGGCAGGGACAGATAAAGAGAGACAGAGACTCAGAGGGGCGCCTGGGTGGCTCAGTTGGTTAAACGTCCTCCGACTCCAGCTCAGGTCAGGATCTCAAGGTTTGTGAGTTCGAGCCCCACGTCGGGCTCTCTGCTGTCAGTGCAGAGCCCACTTTGGATCCTCTGTCCCCCTCTCTGCCTCTCCCCTGCTGTCTCTCTCCCTCTCTCAAAAATAAACATTTAAAAAAGAGAGAGAAAGAGACAGAGAGAGACTTGGAGACAGAGAGACAGAGACTTGGAGGGATAATTAGAGAGTGGGAGGCAGAACAGAGCAAAGGCAGGTCAAAGACTGGCCCTGTGAGGTGGGAACAGATGGGGGTCCAGGAGGCAGGTCCCACCAAGGAGCGCTATTTACTTCCCTGGGCAGCTGAGGGATCCTCAGCACAAGGAGGGGCGGGGGGCTGGGCTTGTTCTCCCCAGGTCACCCTCAAACCTCACCTACACCCTGGAGGTTCAAAGCTCTCGCTCAGTCTGTGTCCTCTCTTTCTTCCCAGTTCTTTCTGACACCAGATCTAACTGCCATTCCTGCTCACACACCTGCCTTGGCTCCCTATTTCCCTCCCTCCCCGAAACTGATTTTCAGGGGTCGGGTGGTAGGGCCAAGATGAAGCCCGCAGAGTAAGTTGGTTAATAATGATGTTTTATGTGCCATTTACACCCCTGAGCCCAGCCCTTTTACCCTTGGATCCCACAGTGACCCAGTGAAGGGGTCTTAAGTCAGACAAAGCAAGATCAGTCTCCTGGTCTCCAGCTCTGCTTGACTCCAGAAGAAGCCACTTCCTGCACACTTCTGGATTGACGCCAGAGTTGGGGGTGGGGTGAGGGCAGCTTTCAGAACCACCCTTAACCTCTCCAGCTGAAGCCTTCAAGGGCAGCAATCGGGTGAGCAAGTTGGGGCGACCCCTGGTGGCTGTCAGCAGAACTAAGCGATTCGACCTTCCTCCCCTCAGCCGCACTTCCTCCTTGGGAGTTGACCCTCCAATTCCCCCTCCACGTGGGCCCCTCCCAGGTAAAGCCCCAGATCCGGCACGTCTAAACCCCAGGGTGGTAGTGGGGGTAATGAGCAGGGCTGGATGAGGTGGGGGAAAGAGTTCCGAGGGCTTCTACCGCCCTCAATTACCAGCCTCTTAGGAATTTTTTAAAACAAATTTTAATCATTTTAAATGTCATACAGGTGCATGGCTTTAAAAATGCAAACTTTACAGGGGGCGCCTGGGTGGCTCAGTCGGTTAGGCGTCCGACTTCGGCTCAGGTCATGATCATCTCACGGTTGGTGGGTTCGAGCCCCGCATCGGGCTCTGTGCTGAGCCTGGAGCCTGTTTCAGATTCTGTGTCTCCCTCTCTCTCTGCCCCCACCCCCCCCCTCCCCGTCTCCGTCTGTCTCAAAAATAAACATTAAAAAAATTTTAAAAATGCAAACTTTACAAAAGGGCATACAGAGAAACAAGAGACTCCCCCCCCACCCCCCAGCCCTCCACCCCAGCCCAGCCCTCTAGCCCCCTCGCTCCTAGCTCTCAGCAGGTACTACCTGCCCCGAAGTCGGTGACCAGTGTTTCCTTCAGAGTTATTTGGGTAAAATTCTCTTTGTCCCTGCATTTTGAAAAATGTACACCAATTATCACTCTCCTGCTTTTTACATTAATGTATCTCGGAGATTTGCTTTGTCACCTTAAAGAGTGCATAGTATCCCACTCTATGGATGGATGGACACATTTATAACAGTCACCAGCCGGAAGACATTGAGGTTGTTTCCAATTTTTAACAATGATCAAGAATGTGATAACGAATGTCCTCGGGGCGGCCCCGCCCGCCCCTTTAGTCTCTTTTTAAAAAGTGAAACCTTTTCTTTTGGAATAATTTTAGATTTCCAGAACAGTTGCAGAGATAGTGCAGAGCCCCTGAACAGCCGTCACTGAACTTCTGCCATGGCCAAGTTCTTTGACACCATGGCATCCAAATTTTATTTGTCCAAACTAAGAAATTAACTCTAGTGCATTAAAATAATTATACTCTAGACTTTATTTGACCTTCTCACTAAGTGTTTTTCTGTGCCAGGATCCAACCCAGGGTTCTGCATTGTATTTTGCCCATCAATCTGATTTATTTATTTATTTATTTATTTATTTATTTATTTATTTATAAGTAGGCTCTGCACCCAACCTGGGGCTTGAACTCATAACCTGTAGATCAAGAGTGTGCTCTACAGACCGAGCCAGCCAGGTGCCCCTGGTCCGTAATTTTGTACCCATGTAAATATGGTTGTAGAAAAATTTCTAGAAGGGGAATTGATGGGTCAAAGGATGTATACACTTTAACTTTTGAGAGGTTCTAGAAAATTGCCCTTCCAAGTGGTTGTACCACTGGGCTCTCTCACTAGCACCACGTGGGATTACTTGTTTCTCCACAGCAGTGCCAGCACATGGTACTTTGCGATTTGCTTGTTTTCATTTTTGCCAGACTAATGGGTAGAAAGTGGTACCACCTTGTCATTTCAATTTCCAATCTTTTGTAGGAAAGAGGTTGGTCGCTTTTTTTTTTTTTTTTTCATATTTCTATGAAATGACTGTCTATATTCTTTGCCCATTTTTCTACCGAGCTGTTTTTTGAAAAATTAATTGATAAGAGCTCTTTACATAAGAAGGAAATTAGTTTATTCCTGGAGATAAGTAACTATATGAAATAGATCTAAGAAAGTTTCAGTTAGTTCTCTTGGGTTTTCTCTATATAAAACCATACTACCAGCAGGTAAAATTATGTTAAATTGCTTCCAAGGCTCTCCTGCCCAAAATGCCAACCTGAAACTAATCTTACAGAAACATCACAGAAACCCAAATTAGGACACCAGAAAATGACTGCCTTGGGCCTTTAAAAAACGCCAACGTCATAAAAGGCAAAGACATACTGAGAAATGTTCCAGATTAAAAGAACTAGAAGACCTGACAAATACAATGTGTGAGCCAGGATATTCTTTTGTTATAAAGGACATTATGAGAACAGTTGGCAAAGTCTGATTAAAGTCTGTAGATTAGATAATGGTGTTTTATCAATGTCCACTTCCTGATGTTCATCATTGTACTGTGATTATGTGGGAGAATGTCCTTGTTTTTAGGAAATGCATACTCAACTTTTATGGGTAATGAGACATCGTTTCTGTGTGTTTTTCAGAAGAGGTTCAGAGAGAGGAAGAAGAATAAAGCAAAGGTGGTAACTAATGTTTGTGGAATCTGGATAAAGAATATCCAGGAATTCTTTGTACTAATCCTCCAGTTTTTCTGTAAGTCTGAAGGTATGTCGAATATAAGGTAAAAGATGAAATTAATGTGAAATTGAGCCATATGGAATTGTTGGTATTTCTATTATTTTTGACCTATGTAAACAGGGCTTACCCACGATCCAAACTGTAATTTCCCTACCACTCTCCTACTATCCATACCCCTTCTTTCTTTTTCTTCTCTAAGTGCGTTGGCTAGTACCTCCAGAACAATATTAAATACTCCACAGTGGTCATCCTCACGTTCGCCCTCATTTTGAGGCCTTTTCAGAACTTTTCTCGTTTGATCCATCACCATGGTAAATCTTATTAGCAGACTTCTGAATACTGAGCCATCCCTGCATCTCAGGTATAAGGCCCCTTCGTTGTGATGTATTTTAAAAATGTGGTGCTTAATTCTCTTTTGCTAAAATTCCATTTGGGACTTCTGTACCCTCCTCATAGCTAGAGGGGCCTGTAGTTTTCCCATTGTGCCATCTTGGTCGGTCTGTGTTGTCAAGGATAGGCTGGCTCGCCAAACATGATGCTAATCACTCGATACACAGACAAGGTAAACTGAGGCCCAGAGAGGAGAAGTGACCCTTCCAGGTCACTCCTGAGCCAGGGCTGGACCTGGACCCTAACTCTTCATGCCTGTGGGATGAAGCAACACTGTCATCAGAAGGGACTGAAGTCTCAAATCAGCACTATCTCATTGGGTCATCGAATGGGCCTTAGTTTCCCCATCTGTAAAAAAAAAAGCATTCGTTGGTTGGGGAGAGAGAGTCGAGTCTCCTTTCTGTAGATTCCGTTCAGAGTGGCTCCTGGGTCCAAAGCTGAGCGTTGATGGCTGTCGACTGGGCATCTCATCCAGCGTGGACACCTCTATACGGGTCCCAGCAGGGCCGCCACATTGTGTGCCCTCCCGGCCTCGGGCCCTCATCCTGCTAGGGGCCGACTCACCCTCGAGCGCGCCGCGCCGGCCGCCGGCAGCCCCCCGAAGTTCTTGGGCGAGAACGTGAGCGGGGGCTGGGTCGCGGTCGGGACCCGGAGCGGGATCGGGGGTGCGGCACTCTGCGCTGGGGGCCCATCTCGGCTTCCAGGGCTTTACTGACAGGAAGTGGGGAGGGGTCCATCAGCACCTGGATCCCCGCCCCCGAGACCCTCCCCCCAGTACTCTTCCATCTTCCCTGAGAACCCCACTCCCAAGAGATCCCCAGCTCCCCTAACCTTTCTCCACCCCCAGCCATTCCCGGGACCCCTCCCCAGGGCCTCCCATCCCCTTTTCCAGGAGCTCAGCCTCCAGAACCCCCGTCCTCTCCCTCGGTACTTCCTTTTACTTGCGTCCTTCTCTTCCGCTCCTCGCCCTTCCTCTATGCGCGCCCGACCCCAGGGACTCATGCCTCCGGAGTGCCGTGCCGGCCCCAGCCTGGGGAGTCCAGCCACCAGACGGCCTACATCCTTGACCACACCTAGGTTCCAACTCCAGGATCCCGTCTTTGACCTTCTTGTCACGCAACACCCCAACGCCCCGCCCACACGGCCCGGCTGCGGCTCCATCCCCGGGGACCCTTCCCCTCCTTCCCCACCAGGCGACGCTGGGCCGAAAGAACGAAGTCTTGCGCAGCCATTGGCCACGCGCCACGCCCGTCCACCGCCCCCGGCCCCGCCCTTCACTCACGCGCGTTCGCGCAGCGCCGCCTCCCGGGCCGCGCAAGCTTCGCCCTCGGCCTCGGCCGCGCGTGCGCGCTGCTGTGCCTCGTCCAGCCGCCGCGCAGACTCCGTGGCCGCCGCCTCCCAGCGCGCCAGCGCTTCTGCGGGTCCAGGGAGCCCGGTCAGGTCCGAGAACCTCGCTCCCGCCCGCCTAACGCCGGCGTTGGGAGTTTTTTTACAGTCTGCATCCTATTTGCAGCTTTGCCTTATTTGAATTAAGTGTGTGCGCTGGTTGCATGACCTTTGCGTGTCATTTGCAGAGCTCTTCATAGGCTTGTGTTGCTTTTGGGAGTCGTGTAAGTGGCGTTTGCGTATTTGGTTGCATTTGCGTTGTGTTTCTGACCTTTGCGTGGCCTTTGAGTGTGACGTGCATTTCCCTCGTAAGTTTTCGCGTTTATTTGCATGTCGTTTACATTACGTTTGCACTTGTGCATGTCATTCGCATAACTGGGAACCTTTTAGGCCCCTCCCGCCCTTAGCCCTGGCCACCCCTTGCGCCCCAACACACCTGTGAGCGCCCCGTTCTCAGCCCCCATCTGGGTCCCCTGTGCCTTCGCCTCCTCGATCTCAGTCTTCAGGGTCATCAGTTGGGTCTGAAGCCGGCTCTGGGGAGTGCAGAGGAAGTAAGGAGGGGCGGGGTGTAAGGACAGAAATGAAGTCTCCCCTCTTTCTGGGGAGGACTGAACTGACCCTGGTGTCTCCGTTCCCTGAGCATTACTTGCAATGCCCTTTGGGGCTCCTGTGGTTGTAAAACAGAAGTGGCCTGGGGTTCCGAGTGGTGACCGCTGCTCTGCCCGGGGCCCACCGCCGCCCACCTCAAGCCACCGAATGTGGAAACCGTTTAGCTCTGCGGTCCCGGTCCCAGCTACATCTAGACTCCCTGGGGTTTCAAACCAACACAAGCCAATCCGGTGGTTGACAATGCCTGGGTTTCTGGAGTATGCTTCCTCACCTCTGTGAGACGTTCTTCGAAACAACTGGCCTGGCCTCCTCAGAACATCTTCCACTGAGGGGCAGAGCCAGAATTTGAACCCAGAGCAGGCTGCGCTTGACCTCGGCGGCTTGGGGCCCTTCCCTCAGGCAGGCAGGTAAAGGGTGGAGGTCTGTTTTGATTTCTAAAATTCACACTGCCCAGCCCCTGCTGGGCCTGGTACCCAGAGATCCACAGTAGTAAATGAAAGATTGGGACTTTGAGAATGGTTCTTTTGCAAGGCCCAGGGCTGGGAAGGGTTAAGAGAGAGTTTGTGAAGGGTGGAGGAAAAGGGAGGACCTGGCCAGTACCTCCCCCAAGAGGCCAACTTTAGCCTCCTAATTACAGGTGACATGAATGTCCCTCTCTGGAAATAGGGCTGCTGGACACTGGCTGGGGGAGGTTGAGTGGGCACCCAGGGGGAGGGTTAGCACAGGGTCTCCCCAGGTGGACTCAGGGGTCTGGGGCTTCTAGCCACCACCATCTACTAGGCAAATGGCAGAGAATCATGGGGCCTCCTTGGTCAGCAGGGAGACTTAAGGGGGAACCAGTAGGATTTGGAAGGGATGACGGTGCCACTCTCGGGTGAAGAATTAGGGAGACGAATGCAGGGGGTGGGGGTGGGGGGCAACCCTGGGGTTGTGTGTGCAGGCCCTCTCCCCCCATTCTGGATTCCCCAGTCTCCCACCCTGCCCGCCTACCTGGCGGCCCTCACAGGCCCTTAGTGCCTCCTCCAGCTCCCGACGGACACGGTTGGCCTGGTTCAGCTGTCTGGCCAGGGCCTCCTGGCGTTGGGTAGCCTCTGCCAGCTGGCGCCGCAGCTCCTCGACCTCTGGCGCCAGGTCCCTGGGGGGCGCCGTGGCGTTGGCACCTGCCTCCGGGCAGCGAGGTCCCCGGGAGGCCGAGGAGGCCAGATTCCAGGCCAGCAGGGCCCCGCCGGCTGCCGCGGCCGCCAGGAACACCGCAGCCCCGCACAGGGCTAGCACCCGCCAGGCGCGTCCCGGCTCTGGGCCCAGCTCGGCCATGCCTCTGTCCACAGCTCTGGCCCCAGACAGCCACGAGCATTTAATTGGCACCTTGGGGCGCCAGGGACACCCACGGCTCCGCCCTGCCCGGCCGTGGCTTCCCGAGTGCGTTGGGAGGGGCTGGACCCCCGCCAGGGGCCAGCCTAGGCTACCCGCGCCCAGGACCGGACTGGGGGTCCTGGGTTCCAGTTCTGCCTCCGCATCGCATGTGCCCAGCACAGCACGTGCTGTCCTCTCATCCTCAGTCTCCCCCACTGAAGTGGGGGTGCTCTGGCTCCTGCCCCATCGGGCTTAGTGGGAACCATAGGAGCCCATCCTCACAAAGCGCCCATTTGCATGCGGGGCCCACGGCAAGGGTTTTTTCGTGGAAAAACTGAGGCTGAAAGACGCGAGGCTACACGACCGACGGAGGTCTGCCTGGCTCAAGCTGCCACACTTTCTGGGACTGGCTGCGAGGGCCAGAGAGGGTGAGATGCTGGAGGGGATGGGTCCCAACTCCCAGCCCCTTCTCCACTAGGCAGCCAGGGGGCGATCTGACACTGTAAATCAGCTCCAGCCCCGTTTACCTCGAGCCCAAGAACAAAGGAAAGGAAAGAGAAACGAGTGGTTGGCTTATAGACATCACAGCCATGCAGGACAGGTGTCTCCTCAGTTTGTGGGGAACTTAATCAACTGCAAGAAAAAGGCAGTCTTATCCATAGCCTAATCTCCAGAAGCCTATAGACTCCATTTCCTGGAGCCCTAAAATCACCCTCATCGAGACGTAAGGGGGGGTTTAAGTGCTTGCCCCGGCGATGTGGGAAACTAAGGCAAATGAAAAATTAAATTCCCTTACTGCCTGCGGCCCGTTGGCGAGCCCTTGAAACAGGCAGAGTGACCTTCCTCTAGGAGCTCAGCTGCCTCGATGATGACACTTTGCTGGGGGCAAAAGAGAATCTTGACTTAACATTATCCTGACCCCCCAGGATCCTGTGAGTCTCCTTAAACACATAAAAATTCCTTCGCAAACCTCCTATATCCTTAGCCCCCAAGTCTATGCTGGCAATCATACTCCAAGCACATGGCCCCTGATATACATCTGAAGGGTCTCACGACTGAAGTTTTACTAAAGTTTTACTAAACAATAAATAAACGGCGTTTTCCTAACAACACCTAGAATGACTTCCACGTGCTTAAAGAGGGCTCCCAAGATACCACAGGCCTGGCTATTGTCAAGCCGAGGTTGTTTTTTCCTCTAGTAAGGCATTAACATGAAGACAGTAGGGAGTTCTGTAGAAATGTCTTACTCTGCCTGCCTCTAGTATGTCAATGGGCTGCAGGTTATAAGGAAACTGAATTTTATTTACCATTTCCTTCCTGCCTTTGTTCGCCACCTTGCTACGGAGGGGAGGGTGGTGTTGGGGCTCAAGGAAACGGAGTCTACGGGTTTCTGGAGATTAGGCTGTTGATAAGATTGCCTGTTTCTTGTAATTTACTAAGACATCTGTAAACCGATGGGGACTCCCGCTCTGCAGGACTGAGATCTCTAGCAGTTAACCATCAGGCTTTCTCTTTCTCTTCGCTTTAAGGCAGCCAGGAGTACCTGATCCTTCCTCCTCATCACTAACTCAGGCCCCTTTCGACTGTCTCTGCTCTTCTTGTAATTTTGCATTTTAGGTGTTCGATTCCCAGCCGACGAGGGAGCATAAGGCACGCTGACACCCTGCAACCCACCCCCCCCCCAACAACCCAGGGTGGGACACGGGTGACATTCCTCGGGCACCCCCGGTTGCCCAAGAACAAAGGAATGGGAAAACCTGATGGTTAACTGCTAGAGATCACAGTCCTGCAGGGCGGGAGTCCCCATCGGTTTACGGATGTCTTAGTGAATTACAAGAAAAAGGCAATCTGATCAACAGCCTAATCTCCAGAAACCCGTAGACTGTAGACTCCGTTTCCTGGAGCCCCAACACCACCCTCTCCTCCACAGTGAGGTGGGGAACAAAGGCAGGAAGGAAATGGTAAATAAAATTGAGTTTCCTTATAACCTGCAGCCCATTGACAAATACTTGAGGCAAATTCAGAGTGAAACATTTCTCCAGGAACTTCCTACTGTCTTAATGTTAATGCCTTACTAGAGGAAACACAACCTCAGCCTGACAATAGCAAGGCCTCTGGTATCTTAAGAGTCCTCTTTGGGGGGCCCTGGGGAGCTCAGTCGGTTGGGCAAGTCACCTCTTGGTTTCAGCTCAGGTCATGACCTCATAGCTCATGAGTTCAAGCCCCCCATGGGGCTCTGCACTGACAGCTCAGAATAACCTGCTTGGGTTTCTCTCTCTCTCTCTCCAAATTAAAAAACAAAAAAGCCCTCGTTAGCCTGTGAAAGTTCTTTTAAAGGACTCTCTTTTGCCTTTACCTCCCCCCACTCCATAGTATATAATCAGTCACTCCTCACAACCCCAGTGCGGGCTCTTTCTGCCCGCGGGTCCTGTCCCTGTGCTTTAATGAGGTCACCTTTTTGCACCAAAGACGTCTTCAAGAGTTCTTTCTTGGCCGTTCAGCTCCGGACGCTCACCACTCCAAAAAGCACATCACCTCCGCCACCGGACTGGGTGAGCTCCTAAAAGCAAAGCCCACGCACGTGTCCTTATCACTGTCACTGCGAGGGCCTGGCACACAGTAGTTATGCAGTAAATGTGAAATGTGAGCTGAGTGGAGACTGTGAACTAGAAGCTCAGTGTCCTCCCTTCCCCGTTGCCCCCATTCCACATGAAAGAAACCAGAGCCCAGAGAGGCCCGGTCGCAGGGCAGGGTCACACAGCAGCCGCTGACCACTGGGAGATTCCTGCTGGAGCCGGAACCCCACAGACTTGCAAGACTGACTTCTCAGGGCCCCGCTGAGTCACAGCCAGTGAGGGAAAACAGGGGGCTATCAGGGAGTAAGAATTTCCTGCCCCCTTCTACATCTTTCTAGCCAGACTAAGAATCAAACTGACACGAGACAGAGTAACAAGAGAACATAAAGTTTAATTTCATACATATGGGGAATCCACACAGACAGGGAAATTCCAAAGCCAGGCAAAATCAGGTATCTGTGTCATTCTATGCCTTTTTTTTTTTTTTTTTAAGTTTATTTATTTGAGAGAGAGAGAGGGAGAGCGGGGAGGTGGACAGAGAGAGAGAGAGTTTCCAGCCGGCTCCGCGCTGTCAAAACGGAGCCTGACTCTGGGCTCGAACTCGCGAACCCGTGAGATTACAACCTGAGCTGGGTTGGACCCTTAACTGACTGAGTTAAGACTCAATCAAGAGTTGGACTCTTAACTGACTGAGCCACCCTGGCGTCCCGGGTATAGAGTCGTTCTTTTTTTTTTTTAACATTTATTTATTTTTGAGACAGAGACAAAGCATGAACAGGGGAGGGTCAGAGAGAGAGGGAGACACAGAATCTGAAACAGGCTCCAGTCTCTGAGCTGTCAGCACAGAGCCCGACGCGGGGCTCGAACTCACCACAAGATCATGACCTGAGCTGAAGTCGGCCGCTTTACCGACTGAGCCACCCAGGTGCCCCTAGAAGTCATTCTAAACTGAAGAGAGGAGGAGGGTAGGGGTCTGGGACTTCAAAGGGAAGGAACACAAGTCACAGGAAGATGAAAAAGAGTGAACGTTTAGGAAACAAATATGTGCTGGGCTGCCGGGGTCCAGCCCCAGCAGGTGCAGGGGTTCCCGAAGGATGAACGGCGTCGGCGAAAATAACAAATGGATGCAGACAACAGCAGCGTGTTAAGACTGGCCGCTTTATTGTGGCGAACGTGGCATTATGTTTGTTAGCGATTTCCGTGTAGCGCGCGTTCTCTGTTTCTCGGCGTGACCTAATTCTAGAAACGTCCCTTTGTGCAATCACCCGTTAAGGAACGTCATGATTATTTTCCTGTAACGTTCCCTCCTGCCCTTTGCTTATTGGTTGATTTCTTCATACTGCTTTCATTATGTATCTACGCTTATCTACGGTCTCTAAAGCATTTGCTTTGCCGTTTTCACGAAAGGTCATCTAGCTCTCGACACTCAGAGGTCATTTAGCGCCTCAAATGGAGCGTTTACAAGGACATGACTTCTTGATTGTTCTTTTGAACCATTTGCGGTACAAGGAACAGAAGTATTCGTTTTGGTCTGGGGTGCCGGGAGGGAGCCAAGAGGGCCCCGGGAACCCACGCTTATGCGCTCCCAGAGAGACAACGGATACCTAGGAACTAATGAACCATTCTGTACCTCAACCCTCCAGGTCCTTCTATCACCTGGAATGCCTCCTGGGGGCCAAGTGGGCCTAGGGGTTGGAGTAACTTGTATCCACGGATACATTCCTTTGTTGCCGGAGTGGGGATTTCGAACCCATTTGTCCCCCTCCTCGGCTGGGAAATGTAGGAGGCTATCCTTCCTTTAGGCAGAGGAGTCTTTATAGGGGGTGGCAAGGGCTGCATGTGGGGCGGCATAATTTCCCTGCGGAATCTTGTTTCTTTCCCCAATGGTTCTCTTCCCGGGGGGAAGGGGGGGCGTGTCGCGGGCAATTCCCCAACCGACAAATCCCCAGGTACTTTCATTGGTGGGGGGCTGCCCTGACCAACGCTAAGGCCAAATTACATAAAAAGCGGGAGTACAAGAAGCTTCACTGTCCGTGGGCCGCCGTGCAGTCCCGATCCGTCCACCGATCCGTCCACCGCCCGGGCCCTGCCATCAGGCTGGTTGGAGAGCTTGGCTTCCGGCACTGGGCCTACTCAGAAACAATGGGACACAGAGGATTTCGGGTCAAAGAGGCCTTGCTCAGTTCCTGTCTACCACATCTAGTGAACATCACATTCTAGTATGATGTTTTCATCTGTGGTGATAGCTCTCTTCCTGGAGCGGGTCCTCTATTTAAATTCTTTTTAGGCAGTTGCGGGGGTGGGGGTGTGGGGGGGTGGGGAGGACAGAGCTTTTCCTGAATCTGCTGGGCTTTGATTGCTTTTTATTATTTATTTACTTTTAAAGTCTCTTTATTTCTTTTGAGAGCGAGAGCGCAAGTGGGGGGGCAGAGAGAGAGAGAGAGGGAGAGAGAATCCCAAGCAGACGCCCGCACTGTCAGCGCAGAGCCCAGCGTGGGGCCCGGACTCACAAACCGTGAGATCATGGCCCGAGTCGAAGTTGGCCGCTTCACTGACTGAGCCACCCGGGCGCCCCTGATTGCTTTTTATTTTTTATTTTAGTTTCTTTTTTCAAGTAGGCTCTACGCCTGACGTGGGCCTCGAAATCACGAGCCCGCTGCCAAGAGTCGCGTGCTCTCCTGATGGAGCCAGCCAGGCGCCGCGTGATTGCTTTTTATCTCAAAATAGTCTTCCTGCCAAAGTGACCCATCTTGGCCCCTACAGGGGCGTCTTTAGGAAGGAGAGAAGTTTATACTCAGCCACGTATAGGGGCTTGGGAGGAGAAATGTTTTGAACAGGTTGAGTCCATCATGTTGGGCAAGCCTGTCCCCCTTTATCATCGAAACGCAGCTCTGGGGGCGGGAGTTGAGGACAGAGGTGGGTGGGCCCGCAGGCCACCCTAGTAGTCATTAAATTTTTGCAAGAGAATGCTGAGCCCATGTGAATGATTAACTAAGCCTTTCTTTGTATATTTATAGATCATGCGTTCTTTCCCAGAAAGAAAAGAGCGCTTCTGCACCACCCTGGGCACCAAGGACCCAAACCCTCTAGCACCTCCCCCGCTCCCCTCCCCGCCCCCCCCCCCCCCCCCGGGGCACCAAGGAACCAGGATCCCTTGCACAACCTCTGAGCACCACACTAGCAAGGTCTGTAGCTGGCACCATTGAGATGGCACATAATTAAGAATTGTCACAGGCCCCTGCACTCCCTTAACTGATTAACTGTGTCCTCAATCCCTTTAAAAATCTCTGGGCCGGGCAGAAACCTCTCGGAGTTGCCTTTTGGACAAGAGTCGGCCTTCTCCCCAGGTGGCCGGCCTCCAGAACGAGACTCATATTCCTTTCCAATCAAAACTCGTCTCTTGAATGTGAGCCCGTCCGGCGATGGGCTGCGGTAACAGGTGGGGGGAGGCCCCGGGTCCCACAAGAAGGGTTTGTTTGCTTCTGGGCATCGGGAGTTTCGATTGCTTGAGCAGCTGAGAAATCCCGAGCAAATCCAGGCACTTCTCATTCCACACGGGTGAAATGACTTGGCCATCATAAAGCAACCTCCTGACCCCTCCTGCGAGCTGGGGACACAAGAGGTGAGGAAGACCAGAATCTCCGCTTCTAGAGCAGAGGTTCTCACAGGAAGGGAGTCTGCACCCCCACGGGGAACTTGGTAATGCCCGAAGGCAATCTGTGTCGTCGCTGCCCGGGGGTAGGGGCACAGGCATCTGGTGGATGGAGGCCAGGGGCGTTGTTCAAGATCCCCCGGCACCACAGAGAACAATCCAGCTCAAAAGTCAGCAGTGCCGATAGACACAAAGGTCCTGGCTCCTGTGCCAAGGGCAGGAAGCTGCCTGGACAACGGTTGGGATTCCAGCAGAACTTGGGAGAAAGGGAGGTCACAGAGGAGGAAGGCTTTGTAGAGCCTGCGAGGATCCCAGAAAGCAGATGAAGAGTCTATCGGGACACCAGCTCTCAATGTTGAAGAAGCAGAGGGACTCTCTGTAGGAGGGGTTCCCAGAGTGGGGCACTGCAGGATGAATAGGAGTTTGGGGCGGGGGCGAGCCTTGTGACAAAGACCTGGCGTGTGTGTGTCTGTAGATCTAGGTTTGAGTACGAGCCCCGAATTTTCTGTGGGATGGGATTGGAAAGTACAAAAGGATGTCCCCCGTCACAGCCTTGGTTTCTTTACTGGGACACGCCTCGGAAGATCCAGTGAGGAAGTGAGAGTAGATAGGAGAGCAAGAATAGATTGCCCCGCGCACAGCTGGTGAGGGTGTACATACATACAGTCCTTTAAGACAGTCCCACTGAGGAGGGCCAGGGAGGCGGTGGGACGCTGCCTGCCCAAACCCAAGGGGTTCCTGGGAACATTCTGGAGCAGCATTTGGTGTGGATGTCTGTGGGTGTCCACATTTGCCTGCAGGACAGGCCCCAGACGCAGTGGGGTGACACAATGGCACTCCAAGAACTTCAGAGCAATGTCTTTCTCCCCGGAAGGGGTGTTTACTTTTTGAGGAGGTCAAAGACCTCAGAGGACAGTGAGCTTCCAGAAACCGTGACAGCAAGAAGCAGGTCTCCCCATCCCATGCCCTGCCCAGCGCTGCAAGGGGGAGGGGGCGGGGAGGCCCGAGGGGGAGGCAGCCCTGGGCCAGCTCCCCTGCTTGTCCAACCTCAAGGCTTCTCGGTGTACCTCCAGGTGCTGCCTGCCCCCCGCCCCCCGCCCTTCCCCTGACTGTGCCACAGCGTGGCCTCTTCAGAACCGGTCAGGTCAGGTCAAGCCTCCAAGGGAAAAGCAGAGCAGGAACGGACCAGTCCAGACTGTGGCCTAAGAGGCATCATAAGAGGGACTCAGGGTGGTCTGAAGGGGAACAAAAGACGCCCCGCCCCCTCCCTAAGCCTCACCTCGGGCCCCAGGCCTCCTCCTCACTCAGTGAGCTCTCTCTCCCTCCCCCAAACCCCTCCCTGTGCAGGCAGGCCGCCTCCCCAAATCCTGGCTCATCCTGGACTCCCTCCTTTCCGTCCCCAGCTTTCTTCTACCCCAGGCCGCCCCCTTCTTACCCGCAGGGACCTCAGGCCAGCAGAGCAACGAAGGCCAGGAGCAGGTGCACAGAGACCACCAAGGGGCTGAGCGCTTTCAAGGAGCTGGCAGACGCGATTTCCTTTTTGTTGCTCGAGGTCTCAGTCCCTTTTCTGGGGGAAGATGTGGGCACGACTCAGGCAACCGCCCGGGACTGATTGCCACCAGCTCTAGCCTCGTCGCCCCTCAGAATCTCCCCTCTCCCCCCGCACCAAGTCAGTGGGGAGGAGAGTGGGCTTGTAGGACCAGAGGGACAAGGATGGGATTCAAACTTTGCGTGCAAAGGGGGTCCGGGGTCTCGGGGTAGGACAGGCGGGTGGAAGGGGCGTGGTCGGGGGGGGCGTGGCGCCAACCTCAGTCTTTCCACCTCCACCGAAGCGTTCTGCAGCTTGTGCTTCAACTCCTCGATCTCTCCTAAGGTGGGAGACAAATGGCGGGGGGGGGGGGGGGGGGGGGGGGGGG